GCACCTGAAAAATTTATGTAATTTAACATTTTTTGTCATTAAAGTTTGACATAAAGGATTATTGGGCCGGAATGTTTGGGCTCATTTTTTTTATGCTTACAAATCACTGCAGATAGAATTTCAAGTCAGATCTGAAATCTTTTTTTCATTTCATACAGCAAAACGATGCATAATAAAGATGTCTTTCCTTGTACAATGATGAAAGACCTTCAATATCACAAACTGAATACTCTGTTAAATAGCTCACATTCTTCTGGTTTCTAATCAGTCTTGGATTTAACAGGTCATCGACAGTATACATTTTCAGGGTCTACAATATGTAGCACTACAGAAAGCACTTCATGTCAGAGAGAAACTTTATTGTATCATTTTATAATTTAATGGTTCCATTTACTGGAGTTGTCAAAAGGTGCTGCAGTATGAAAAATCCCATAAGTCAAACTGAGGGTCGACTACTTTTGAAATACACTTTTTTCCCACAAGAATTCAAACATGATCCTGTCTGGGTGTTTTTTTTTTAAGAGCCTTGATCCTTCCAGCACTGCCCAATGAAGCGGCTACAGAGGAAACTATAGGTGAGGGCAGGAGTCAGGAAAACCGTCTATGTTTCTCTGGATGAAGGAGTCACGAGCTCTGACCTTGTGCAATACGCCCCAGCATCTCAACTCAGAATCTTCTCACTCGCTTCTCAACTGAAGGCTTCAATTAAAGAAGACAAGAAAGAAAATCTATTGAGCTTTTTCGTGAGCATTCCTGTTGTTTGTAAAACAGTTCTTTATTATATGGCTATGTTTCTCAGAGCATAAGCCAACACACTGTATCAGCAGATACAGCTCTCCTACTCTCAGCCTCCTAGTATACGACCAGAAACCAATTTCGGCAGGCAGCAATGAAAAAAAAAAGAATCAGGCCAGTTCTCTGGGGAGAGATAGAGGTGCAGAATGTAAACTTCCCTGGCAAGCTATCCCCGGTGGATTGAACTGTAAAAAGAAGCTCTAATGCTCACTTCAATACAAGATAAACTGAGTGGACGGTTGGCATTACCTGATTAAGTGAATTGCATTACAGATTATGTAAGGACTGCAAAGTGCAATACATCTGTCTTTACGCACTCACAGAAATATGTTATGACTTTTCTCTTGGCTTGGAAAACTGTAAATGGGAACTGTGATTCAGAATAATAGTTTATTTTGGACAATGTTTTTAATTTAACTATGGTACTTTTGTTTTTTTTATGGGCCCCCATAAAATGTTTTGTATCCTTGATTAGAAAATTGACACCACTTTATACGTACATAAAAAATATAAAGCTAGCACCAGCAGTGGGACAGCTGGTCTGGCTGGATAACTACCTTAACTTAACGTGCCAAAGCAGATTTAGTCGGACACACTGTCCCTCAAAAAAAAAAGTCATATTTATACAAAATACAATAAATTTGTCTTTGACTATTTGTAAAATGTTATGACTATCTCTTGGCTTTGAATAGGAAATTGTGAGTAATATAATGGTTTAATATGCACAGTGTTTGCTTTAGTGTAGTTACAATTTGGGCACAAGTAGATCATTATAAAATTACTTTTACCAGAAGACAAAATAGAACATGTATCACTTCTCTCAGTTTAGCTAAGCACAAATATTTCAAACAGGGAGAATCAGCTAGCATGGTTGTGTTGCTGCTATTACATTAATGTTAGTGGCGCACAGGCAAATCAAGTCACCACACTAGCCCTTTAAATCAAAACATGAATGATTAAAGGCAGAAAATATGGCACATGTATATTTATAACTTCTGACTCTCCTTTAGGTTAGGAAAACTGTACACACTGATGATGAGTACTTACAACAATACAGTTATTTAATGCTATTTGTATCATGTAAGAGCTACAGGAAATTAGATGCTATGATACATATTTAAAGGACATTTGTACTATAGCTTGGAGCTAGATGAAAACATTGATGTCACTTTCACTGATGTATGATAAATATGAAGCTAGCAGCAAAAGCGGGTTGGCTTAGCTTAGCACAAAAACTTGTAATGGGGAAACCTTCGCTGGCTGTGTGGAAATCTTTATTCACAAATATGTGCTCTGCCCCTAAACACTTCATTTTTGCTTTTACTTTCTGTTAAATGGTTAATAAAAAGGGGAATGTTCATTTGTAACCTTTTGACAGAGCCATGTCAACTCTTTACCCCTGTTTCCTGTCTTTAAAGCTAAGCTAACAGGTTCACAGGCTCATATTCAGCATACAAGACATGAAAGTGGTATCAATCTGTTCATCTTGCTCAGGGACAAAACAGACTGATGCCACTTGTTCAACAAATTGTACAAATTAAATCATTTTTCCTTTAAAGTTTCAGAGGTCTATGAGAAAGTTGCATCATTCTCAAGGCCCTTTCATGCCAGCTCAGCCGCTTTTAAAAGAAAATACTGCCTTTCAAAGGCTGGCTTAAGCTGGAATTTGAATTATGATCAGCAATGATTTATACTTTGTAGGTTGTAGAGTCACAGCTTTCGAAGCTACAGGACAGCAGCCGTAAAGGTCACTTGTTTCTCTAATTAATTACTTTAAATTGTATACAGTACAGTAGCTATCTTTGCTTTAAATCTGCAATTCTGAGGACATTTCCAAACTTAAATGCTTTATGTAATTTCTGTTTAAAGCGATACAATCCTCCAGCTGCTATTTGAGCCACACCTCTCTCATAGTATTTTTCATTTGTGCCTGTGAGACACAAACACATTACAGTGCACTTAATTCACCTTGGCAGCAAGCCAGGAAAAGTTAAGATACACACTTTGGGGAAAAAAAAGAGAGAACAGTTTCCTTCGATAACAATGGCACACTTTATTGCTCTTTAGCTCACAATGGTTTTCTGTGCAGCCTGTGGTATTGCTGCAGTATCCTGTTATGGGGAACAATTCAATTCCTCTGACATAGGTAGAGATCAGAATAACAATCAGCAAAATACATCATTTAAGCTATTCAGCCAGCCGCCACCCCTGGCTGTTCTATTCATAAATACAATCCAGAGAAAAAAAAAAATATATATATATATATATATATATAGACATATCATAGAAAAAGAGTCTGTTTAGTAAATGAGCCAACATATTACACAGAATTACAGACATTCAGCTACAGGATGCTTTAAGGCTTTTTTTATATCTGATCTGCTGCTGCTGTGGCATGAATATTTCATTTGGGTAGTCAGCAGCATTGCAGAGGCATATTTCATATTTCTATGCAAACCCTTGCACAGAGTAACTCGCATTTGCTTTGATGAATAAGTGATCTCTCTCACTTACTCCCAAACTCTCGGCCCCGCTCATATTGTTCGACTGTCAACAACAAAAAACTGCCAAAGATGTAACGAGCAAACAAACAAATGGATAAGTGAACGCACACCACTGATTGTCCTTGTGTAGCATGTGTGTATGCATGTCAATGACTGTGTGTGTGTGTGTGTGTGTGTGTGTGTGTGTGTGTGTGTGTGTGTGTGCGCGTGTGCGTGTGCGTGTGGGTCTCTGGTGGCTAGCCAGAGTCTGAGCCCGTTCTGCTGAGTGGGCAGATTCTCTGGCGGAGTGTCCCATCGGAGTGACAAGTGCATTTAGAAACAGCCTGATGGAGTCATTAACGGTAGCGCTGCTCATTAGCAACACACGCACGAACACACACATATTCACACACACACACACACACACACACACAGCCCCTCGGTAACAATAGCGTTTTCTCCAGGTTAATACAATGACAGTAGATGAATCCAGAAAATCTGGACGATACAGCACATTTATAGAAAGCTACGATATGAAACATAATATCTTTTAAGAAGCACGCTGACGAGCCTGATTATGAAAGCAAGCAATCACACACACACCCACAAGCACGATCAAACTATATTGATTCCATGAATAACAACAAAGCATCCATTATTGATCCTCTTGTCCTTTTTTGTGTGTGTATGAGATTCAAGCAAAGTCAAGTTACCAAGGGCATTACATCTTTCCACAGAATTTTTAAGAGAAAAATGTCTCATGCCTGTAACAGTTTCACTTTCACATCAGAATCAGGCTTTAAAATTATCACTAAAAGGAAAAAAAGAAAGTTATAAATCAGGCACCATGATAAATATGTACTATGAAAGACAAACTGTCATAGTGATGGTATTTTCAACATATTTGTTCAGCTACATTATACCCAGCCTAATCAGTGTTGTGCATTACATCACAGCCATGTGAGAGGCAGAGAAGCATATAAGTGGGAAACGGCTTCAAAGGGAACATTATGTTCTTTCTGATTATTAGCTTCAAATGCCAGTTTCCTATTTGCATCCGATGAGTCATACACTCAGTCATCCAGCTTTATGTTGGGCCTGATTCATGGCTAATGCTCTAGTGAGACCCCAAGAGCCCTAAAATGCAGGAATCAAAAAATCAGTGACACTTAATGGCACTGTGTACATGATGAACATGCCATACAGCCATTCAGACACACACAACAATGATCCTTAAAGCTCCTGAGACGCACAGCCAATTATGATCTGAACTAAAGGATGAGAAGGTATGAGAGGTGCTGCAGACTGCAGCTTGATGTGACTCAATTCTTTAAAGACATAACCAGCTGAATTATGTGGTTTTTTTTGCATACAGCCTTTGTTGTTATCACACTCTGAAAACAGAGCTGTTGTATTGTAGGATAATAATGCGTTGGCAAACATTCAGCCATTACCTCGAGTCGGCCTCTTTTAGTGTGATTCTCAGCTCATTATATCAGGAGGAATTCCAACTACATATTGATGAATTACTCCAGTCAAGACAACACTTGTTAAACCAAGCAAAGGATAATAAACATAAGCTGATTTATGGTGGAGGCAGGACCCAAATACAGAAACATTCAACACAGCAGCACAAAGAGATTGTAAACTCAGCAATAACCTTTTGGGATCAAAGTCATACTTAAATGACTAAATAAAAATGGAGGTTTTGCTTACACTCACCTAGCTGCGCCCTCTCCCTCTGGACATCCTTGAAGTTGAGCCCGCTGGTCAGGGTGCTCTCTCTGTATCGATGGAGGGCCTCCCGCCTCCCATTGGTGCCCAGCTCTCGAAGCACGGAGGGTTTGAGAGGCTCGGCCTTCAGACAGTGGGCCCATCCTGAGAAGTCTGGTACAGTCCACTTCACTAGGTCCTCCAGCCGCACAATCACCTTCTCAGACACGGCAATTACCTCATGCTGAAAGGAAGCAGGGTACAATCCCAATTACAATCAGAAGCTCACAGAGGGAGTTACATAAATGCAACTGTGCCGAGGTCATGGGTCACTTCCTCTTAACACAGTTTTATGGCTCTGTTTGAATCCGTTTTGTTGAACAAACACAAAGAAACAAATCAGCAGCAACAGATTTGCTTTTGAAAGGTAAAACTATACCTCCCCCTGTGAAGGAACTGCAAAAACAATGTGAAAATGATAGAGAAAAGCTAACTAAAATAGAACAACTTATCCTCACAAAGCAGTGCAATAAATACAACTGAGCAGAAATACTTGTATTCTTATTGTCTATACCCTTTTTACAAAACCCTACCTATTTAAGTCATGATTTCAAAACTTCTTCTTGTTTGACTTTTGACTTGCATTTTTTTTGCAAACTAAGCTCTTTTCTGAAATAGACTTGTAATTTTTTCACATTTGTTTTGTTTCCCTGTACTTCTAAAGCCAAAGTGAAGTGATGAAGGAAGTATTCAGAATCTTTACTTTACAGAGAAATACTTATTGTCTCAAAATACTCTTCAAGCAGTAGTCCTTATTTAGGGGTAAGAGTATAAAGGGAATCTCAGTACAATATAAAATATCAAAAGAAAAAGCAGCACTCATCATTAATGGCTGCCTTGAGTGTGGTTTTGCTGTTGTTGTTGTTGGGTTATGTTGTTTTGTTTTGGGGTTTTTTTTTTGGGGGGGGGGGGTATGCATTTCTTGATAGGACAGTAGATCGAGTCGGAAACAGGGATGAGAGAGTGGGGAATGACATGCGGGAAAGGAGCCCCAGGTTCGAGGATGACAGCCGCTGTACACCACTAGGCTATAAGGCACCCCTATTATTCAGTGTTTCATATTTTTGATATCACCAAAGAATGCATGTAGGAGAATTTAATGTTTTAGTTTATAAATGTGGGGCATATTTTGAAGATATTTTGTTGCCTTGTTAACTACTGGGTGAACTTATTCATGTTTTATGCAATAAAAATATACACATTTCAAGTTAACATATAGAGGCAGAAGTCGATTATTTCCCTTTGACAACAGTGAAGTAGAGACACAAAGAAGCATCAAATGTTAATAAAGTTCAAGTGTCTCACATGTGTACTAAACTACAGTGCTTGAGTTCCCCTTGTAATAATGTATAGTAGTACGTATTCAGTGATCTTAATCAAGGTCAAATATCTAGTATCTTACTAAAAGTATTACAACAAGGACAGAGGTTAGATTGAGATTCAGAGTTAGTTGAGGAAACAGGACAAACAACACAACGTCCTTACTTATCCTCTTAATTGGTATGTGTGTCAAGTAGCATTATGGCTGTGGATGCACATTAATGTAAGTAAATTAGAGCAGCATGAATATGGATGATGTGGATAAATTGAATTTATGCCAGCAGTTAAATCAATGTCAATGAGGACGTCGGATGTTTTGGACTTTTTTGATTAGCATTTAGTTTGAGAACTCTGGCTCCTGATATCCACCATGAGCGCTGAGATTTCTACATTTTACTCACAAGTTAAAACAGGAGAAAGCTGTGGTCTCCCTGACACACAATAAAACACAGACAGGAAACTATAAATGTAAATCTATAGCAGTGATGTGCGTGGCTGAATAAAGCAGTGCTGGTTTTGTGTACACACTTTACTCTGTTCAGTAGCTTTACTTAATAAGATTTGCTCTCTCCAGTATGTGCTTCTGCCTTTTTCCCCTCCTAAGGTTGATTCAACCCTTTTTAATAACTCTCCAACTTGAAAAAAAGTCCAGCATAGAGGGAAGGAAGCATAGATGCTTAAATGTGTTTCCATTTGAAGGGCTAATGGTGGAAGTATGTTACCAACAGAGTGGAGTGGCTTGCTGGAAGATGGCTATTACAGAAACAGGCAAATCTGGAGGACAGATGTGTACAGGCAGAAATGCAGACACCCTGAGTAGGTCTCTGATGTTTACCTTGGTTTTGCCAATATAGCAGGCATCTGTCTGCCTGTACACATTTCCCCTGAAAGAGCCTGTATATGACTGACTTTAAAATAACATTTATTTGCCCCCATACTGACATTTTTATGCACTGTGTGTAAATGTGGAGTGGGTGGACAAAATAAAAGCTACACCTATACGATCTAATAAAATCCAAAAGAACTGTGCAGTAAATCCTTCCTTTGTGAAGCTCAAGATGTCAACTTCTTTAAAGCTGCATTTTTCACCCTTAAATTGAATATTTCAAAGACTTCCCGTTATTTTGCTTTCCATTCTCTAAAAACAAATACACGATTTCTCTGCGTTTCAGATTCTCTCAGAGAGTTCTGTCTACACAATTACCCGTATTCAGTTCTCACATCATCTGCAACTACAGGCATATCAAATCCCAACCAGTTGGAGACAGTACTTCCTTATAAAGGAAAAGCCTGCGAGGGATAGCTTGATATAGCTGTGCCTCCCTCACTAAGTAGAAACATCAAACATGGGTTTTCGGTCTTCTTATAATGAGCTGTCTTCAGCTGTCAAGTGGTGGCGGGTGGTTGTAACCGGCTTTCCATGCAATGAAAAACTGACTGCTGTTTCTGCCTTTTAAAAAAAAGCAGGCCATTTGAATAATGTAGAACAACAGTAAATAGCATTCAGCCTGCAGCCAAAATCACATGGTACTCTTTCTCTACAGATTTAGCTACTGTACTTTGATGTGATCGACTGACAGCACATACAGAAACATAGCGGAAGTATTTCCATTCAAAACTGAAATAATGCACTGAATGTTCTCCTGCTGGTGTATGAGTCAAACAGAAATACTTCAAGTAATTCCATAGCACACCAGAGCATTCACACACAGCAACAGCAAGCTTAAAAAACACACTGCCTTTCTATATCAATCAGCCTGATGACACAGTGCCTTGTGTGAGTGTCAACAGATCCTGTTTGGGGACTTGCTGGACTCGAGAGCGAAACACAACAGGTGAGAGCAATTCAGCAGCTGTCAACACAGTCCAGAATATAATCAGTCTATGAACGCAGCCCAAACAGGCGACATCCATGAGCTTTGCCTTAAACTGATCCTTAAAACAGCAGCAGAAGTCCAGGGGCTCTGCTGTATGATGCAGCACATACAGTCAGGAAGCTCAACACCAGCTTGTGGTTTGCATAAGTCGTGACGTTTGATTGTGAAATGTTTAGGCAAATGCTGTAGATTTACGAAAAATTCCGAGTTTCCATGAGAACAAGTCTGTTGTTCAGAAATAACAGTGTTGCCTCACCCTGGTTTGCCATCATAAATTAAAGTAACAGGACTCTTTTCTTCATTGTATAGTCTGAAAATGGGGAAACTCAAAAAGATGACTTCAACTCATTTCTTTTAGTCCAGCTTTCAAACTAAAAATTGACTGGTCAGTTATTGCAGGATGAAAACTGCATTTCTCAGCATAGTTTTCCTTTATAAAAAAAAACCATGATTTTCTCTAAGTGAGAGAAGAGTTTTAATGGTATTTTTATACAAGCATTCTTACCAGACGCCACAAAGTTTTGGTTAATCAAGCAGTTTTAACAGTCTGTGGCTGTGAGCAATGATTGTCAATGAGTGTCATTGTGTAATCGGATGATTTCATTAATCCCTCATCTGAAGAGTCTGAAAATAGAGAACAATTAACTCAGAATGTTACATTTAAATTACTTCTTTAATCCAATTTGCTTTTATTTCATCAACCAATCATTGAATCCTCAAAATCATTTCCTGGCTGACTGAGAAGGAAAATACTGAATTTGCAACGTGACATTTTGGCCAACTATCGACTATAACAGCTCATAATAAATGAAACTTAAAACCAGCTGTTAAAATAAATCTGTTATTGATTTATTTTCTGTCAAATAACTGTATCAACTAAGTGTTCTAGCACTGCTAATAACACAACAAAGAATAATCTTTTTATTTGTATTATCAACCCTGCACGGCTCTTCTACTTGCATTTTTGGTTGTAAAACTGTGCTTTGGAAACTTGCTGTTCTGTAAATGCAGCCTGTTCACACTGTCCTGTCATGTCGAGTTAGGCAGCTGATAGTTTAGCGGAGCAGCAGACACAGCCAGCAGGCCACTTGATAATATAGGTCAGAGGACTGTAAGCCCACAGCCAAGAGGTGACACTCCACATCAGCAACATACCAAACTGCCTGGTGTCATTTCACTGACACTTCCTGCACACATGCATAAAGAGCATTCAGATACTCTGACTTCTGAACTTCATATCTTAATGTACTGCTATTATTTCACCTCCAGGAAGTCAACACACGCACATACTGTCTAACTGCTCATTTTTATGATTGAGCTCAAATGCACAGTAACACATTAACAGCTGAATGTTACATTCAGTCTCCATTCTTCCATCAATAATTCATGTTATTACTGCAGCAGCGTGTTATCTCCAAAAAACATTACTGAGTGAATTTATTGCTCTGACTGCACATAATGGACTAAAAGTGGAAGGAAAAAAATAATCTGCTGCGAAACTGTAGATAACTCAATTCCAGCAAACGCATGACTCCAGCAATCTCAATGAAAAATTAAACTTGCTAAAATCCATATCATTCAATTTATATGGATGCAGTCGTGTATTGGTGGCAAAAAAAAAAAAAAGCACATAAGGGGGCATTCCCGGTTCTATATTGGGCGATCCAATTAGAGACAATGCCGAAGAAATATTCCATATCGTTCCCAACAATCCCCAGCAAGAAACAGTGAGGGAGACATTCCTGACTGTCAGCGTTCTGCGGCGGAGCGTCTCATCGCTCGGACAGGACTTTCAGCTTCGGGAGTCAATGGGGTGCACGCTCCCAGTGGGTGGGTGTCTTTCTATACTGTGGGTACAAACACATACACATACACACACACACACAGCGCTCCTGTCATGCTGAGAAGGTTTCAGCCTGCTGCCTCTGAGAGGTCAGCACTGGAATTCGTAAGGCCAAAAGAGATTAGTAATTGAGGAATGGACATG